TTGACACTTTTTATCAACGAAAAAACACATGTATTGGACACTATAAATGTATGAAATGCATAATAATATATAGATTTTAAGCATTTTAAGCTGATAGTCAATGTTTTACTGGATTGTCTAGTCGTTCTTTCCCTTCTTTTTCTGTAATATACAACTCTCCCAAAATTATATCCGTGATATGCTTATAGATAGTCTTTTTTTTTTTTTTTTCCTGAGAAAAGGCTTTCAATGCTTATTAGATAGTCAATTGATTATTAATAAAGATAACATGCTTGTTTAACACAGTAAGCACTATATAGACCTCGATGAATGATGCCGTGTATAACACCTTATACTATCCCAATATAACATCCCTTTTCATAATTTATGTTGATACGAGTCCGAGTCAGTAGTGGACTGGGGTCCAAAATTAAAACATGATCTCTAATCACCACCAATTTAAACAGTCCCGACTAATTTTAAAAGTGAGAGTCAGTCCGATACACCGATATAAAGAGTTTGGTTATGATTTATAGTGACAATTATATGTCTCATGATCAATTCAAGGATATCTGAGGTTTCACCTTATATTTGTTTTTGTTATTAAATTTAAATATATTTTCTTTTACAAAAACCCCACTCAAATATCGTACAAATAACACCCCAAATGCAGCTAGTAATTTAACAACTATAACCTAACAAATGTTTTATAGCGTTCAGATCTGTCTAATATCAATATCATCATATCAGTTATCGATTGTACATATATATCTAATATATTATATTTATTTCTGTTGTAGAAAATTTCATACATATATGTTAGGGCTCACCGGAGTCGGCCATATATAATATATAAAGAGTTGTACGAGGTTTGAATCTTCACATTTGAAATTTGGAGCAGCCGGAAAACACATTTTAACCTGATAAACAAAAAAAACAAAATCTCTAAAATAGCATGACGGAATGAAAATTATGAATATGATTTTTCATTTTTGTTTGTTTTCCTTCTCGTTAAAATTACAATCTCACAATACACAAAAAAATATGAATCTTATAAAACCCGATCATCCCAACCAAAAATAAAATGGCAAAGCATTGGATTGATGTCAATCAGCAGCTACAGTGACAACGTAATATAATGGCTCCGTTAAGTCATTGTTACTTTGCGCTGTTATCACCACATCAACGTTTTCACTGGACGTTAGCTTTCTTGCTCTCTTTGCTTCTCTTTCCCAATCAGTAGAAGCGACGACATAAAGCATCATAGCCGCACAGCATATCTGAGCCGCGAAAAGCCCTAACCAAAGCCCGCGAAACCCATACGACGCCCAAAACGTTAGTCCAACAGCTACCGGCGTTCCGACAAGGTAAAACGCTCCTAGGTTTATGTTTGCGGCCACCGAAGGCCGCGCGGTCCCTCTAACGACCCCGCAGCCTACCGTTTGCGGGCAGTTCCCGAGCTCACAGAGCCCGAGAATCGGCAGCGCGGCCGCGGTTAATTTGATGATATCAACGTCGTTTGTGAAAATCCGCCCCCATACATCGCTTACTCCCCAAGCAAACGCGGAGGCGGTCATACCCATCACACACGCAAAGGAAACCGCTACTATAGCTGATAACCTAGCCGTGTTTGGGCGGTTTGACCCGAGTTCGTTACCGACTCGGGTCGAGACCGCAAACCCTAGAGACGAAGGGAAGATGTAGAGCAAGGACGTCGTTTGGATAAGAATGCCCATTGCTGCGACTGGAGTCTGAGGGTTAATGAGTAAACCGCATAGAACTGTCATGATCTCGTACCACCACCACTCTAGGCAAACGCCGACGCAGCTAGGTATGGCAAGGCTGACAAGTGGACCCCAGTCTTTGAAACATTCAGAGCCGGGGCGGGACCAAGTTGCCGAGTGTAGACCGGTGATCCAAACGTGGGCAACAAGAAAAACGACGACAAAGAAATTCGAAGCGGCCGCGGCCATTGAAACACCGACGAAACCCAATCGGAGGTAAGAAACGAGGAAAAAATTCATGGRTATGTGGAAGATGGTGCCGGCGAGCATTGCTAGGGTTAGTGGGCTTGTGATACCTTGTGCTCGAAGGTATATACGGAGAGGGTGAAGAAAGGAATTAGTGAGCAAATCAGGAATAGAGCAGATGATATATGTTTGAGCCAACGATGCGATACTTGGATCTTGATGAAGATAGATCATGATTTTTCCCAAGTTGAGCCATAGAGCGAGGATCACGAGCGAGCTTGTGAGTAAGAAAAGAACGGTTCGTTGGAGAGTCAGAGAGAGGAGTTTTGGCTTGTTGGCTCCAAAGGCTTGAGAACAGAGTGGGTCCATGCCGAGGGCGAGGCCTGCAAGAACGGAGTAGCCAGTGATGTTGGCGAATGCAATGGCTAAGGAGCCACCAGCGAGCTCTAGCTCTCCGATATGACCGAGGAAGAGCATAGAGATCGCGGAACGAGCGTAGAGGATGAGAGCGGCGAGGATGGTGGGAAAGGCTAAGGAGAAGAGAGACTTGGCCTCTATTTTAAGCTCAGAGATTGATGGGAAAATGCTGCTCTGTTTTTGCTTTTCGAGGTCGATTTTCGAAAGAAGATCTGTGTGACTGATCATGATGTTGGGAGTTTCCATTGTTCTGTGAAATATACACACAAGACAATGAAAAATGATAGAATTGATAGTTTGTGGTGCTATATCTTTGAAGCAGGATTTTGAGGTTATATATATACACACAAAACCTATATATGTATGTGGATCACGTCTAAAGCTACAGAGAATGGGTCAGATATGATGGATGTATTATTCCCAATAAAATTATAAAGTCAAATATTTATTTTATTTTTGACAGCAAGTCAAATATTTATTTAATGGATGACTATTAATTAGTTTAAAATTTCATGTTTTTAAAAGGATACAATATTTGTTTGTTTGTTTTTCTTGAAAAGTTTATGTTAAGAAGGGAAAGACCCTAATTCAGTTGTAGGACACCTTATCAAGCAAAATGAAGAACCTTTCTAAAACACCTTTGCTGATACATTTTTTTCTAATTGTTTAAGGTTTTTTTTTTATATTTTAGAAAAACAAAACAGAAATAATGGTCATTTATAGAATTAAATCTGATTTCTCACATTTTGTTCTTGTTGATTTTATCCCTACAAATAATTAATTTGTACTTTTCTCCATGAAAGGCGCTAAATTTTTGTCTCCTTATTGACTTTTCATAATTAATTTTCCCATATGTAATATTATATTTTACTTTTTATTTTAAAAAATTATTTAATTAAATATTTAATCCATTTTACAAAAGAATATTATTATTTTCTTAATCTACCAATTATCAAATGTACATTCCTGATATTAGATTAACTAATCAAATTTCATTATAAAAAACTGACATTGAATTTCATTGTTTTATAAATATATGTATCTCAATTGGATCTTAATCTAATAAACATACAAAAGTCAAATATTTCTTTAATGTATGACTTTCTGTATTAATGTATTTAATTTAGAAAATCATGTTTAATTATAAGGATTTAGTTTTGGGATTTGTTCTAGTTCATTTGATTAAACATAGAGGTTAACAACTTTACAAATAAATTTATAAATGGTATCCATTTTAGTTATTCTTAGAGCATCTCCAACCCAACACCAAATCATACACCAAACCTATTATTTGGTGTAAAAACCTCTCCAATCCAACTCTATTTTGGTGTTAATCTTTTTTATTTATAAAAAGGCCTTTCAAATTTTAATCAACTTTAAAATTAATGAAAAACATATACAAATTGTGATGTTAAAACCCAAAATCTAATATGTTTGATAATAACTAAACAAAATCTTAATATATTTTGTTATTTTATATGCTACAATGTATTTATTTTATATAATAAATATTAAATTTAATTTATTTCATAATTTTTTAAATTTAAAAAAATAAGTAGGGTTGATTTGTAAATTTTAAGAAATTGAAAAAGAGAATCTATTAAGAATATTCTATTTTTGTGTAAAAATTGATATAAATCATTGGAGCAAAACCCAACACTTGGTGTTACCCCATTTTTAGTGTAAAAAATGGTGTAAACCATTAAAAATGCTCTAATTAGTATCACGTCTCTTTGGTGCCACGTGTTTCAACTTTCAGTGTTCTTCTTTTCTTCATTTTACCTTTTCTTCTTCTCTTCGGATTCGATTTTATCTTGTGAATCAAACACATTACAATAATACTGAATAAAGTTGTTTAGCAAAAAAGAAAAGGGACAGCCCATTGGGAAAAACAAAACAGTATTGTATAAAGTTTACGATATAATTGATACTAGGTGATCGTTCCGCACCATGTGCAGGTATAATTTTTGTTTTAATCGAATTATGTTATTTTTGGTATTTAATAACATGATTATATCATGGGTGATTTGCAGCAATAACCAAAAAAATTATATTTGCAATCTAATGAAAATAGTATGATATGAAAAAATAGGAGCCATTAGATTAGGATGATTTAGTTAGTTAGTGAAATATAATTTTCTTAGGTTATTTTAGCCAATTTCCCTTATATCATTTATAAAAATTAAATATGCATCTTTGTTAGTTTTTAAATTAATATAAATATAGGAAATTAATATGCATATATATAAAATTTTGAGTATCGTTGTGAAAAGTATGGACTTTTATTTGGTAACATTTTTGTATTTGTGTAGAAATAAAACGCAAATATTAAAAACAATATGTAAAATTTGATAATTAGTAAAAAATGCTTCAACATATTGAAAACTTTAGACACTGCAAGCATGAAGAATTTGTAAACTCCATTAACGATGGTAACTATATACGTTTTGTTACCATCCGTCTCYTTTC